ATAGTATCTGTTCTTCCCATAGTGGTGAGGTAGTAGAAATACTAAAGGTGACGAAGCTCAAAGGCTTCTCTTGTGATTTGTTTATCCACCGGTGATTCCTGTAGTGTGTGAAGCTTCTTTTAGTTTTAGTCTCATGTGTGTCTGGTTATTGATGCCTATTATGATTGTGGATTGTTTTATAGACTTCAAGTAAATTAAAATACCTCTTTTCCCACTATTCTCTTTCAAGAATGTAGACATACCCATAAAATCCACCAATTATTCAGAGAACACAACACTTGTGTGCTTCGTTTTTTCGTTTTAACAATTAATCACTGTTGAGATAATTGTTCCATGCAAAATTTTCATAAATATTATAATGATTTTTATTAATTTGATTTGAAACAACTTGGTAAAACTAGGAATTTATTAGTGCTTTGAATTTTAGTGATTGAGAACGTTTACAGCCTTTTAGGGGGTGCAGTCTTGTTGGGAAAAAAAATATATATATAAACCTTTGCTCTAAATGTTATATTAGTTACTAAATCATCAACAGTCTGTTTTTTGTTGTTTAGTTTAAAAACAGACAAATGCTAAATCAGTTTGTACAACAAGTTATAATTTATGAAAACCCTTTTACTGGTGCAGACTGAGGTGGGCGATATGGCTCAAATATAATGTGATATTTCAGATAGGGCTGCAACTAACGATTATTTCAATAATCTGTTCATCAGCCGATTATTTTTTCGATTAATCATTGAATCGGCAAAAAAAAGTTTTAATTTCCACCTCTTTATTCCAAAATTGAACATTTGACTGACAGCAATTTGCACCAAAAACAGGTTGCTATTTGCCTGTTCTGTTAGTAAAATGTTGAATAATAAAAAATAAAAGTTAGTCAAATAGCTTAAAAAAATAAATGTACTCAAAAATATATACAAATGAATGCTTTAAACCTGCACAATATGTAGTCTACTTTGTAAAATATGTCCTTGAGGGAAGAGTGTAACCTGGATTAAAAGTGTGGCTCATTGTAGTGAAGCCTTCGTCTTCAACCATCAACGGAGACCTCATGTCAGTTACGATCATGTTAAAGATGCTTTCGGTCAAGACAGCTGCTTGCTCTGATCATTGGTGCGCTGGGCCGGCCTTCTTCAGCTGCTGCTCCCTGTTGCTCTGGCCCCCGGCCTGGGGCCGGCTTGCGGTCGCTGTCGGGTGGGTGAGGCGTATGGACGGCCCGACAGAGGCTCTGTCGGGCTGTCTCTGTGTGCCTGTTTATATGTCTTGGGTTGGGTTTTAGGTGGTCCCCTCTCTTGGATCAATTTGGGTCCCCTATTTAATGTGGGGTCTACTTCCCCCTGTCGTGCTCCCCTCCGGTGGTGGGCCCCCCTGCCGCCGGTGCATTGGCGACTCTCAGCATCTGGGGCTGGGTGGTGGGGTGTGTGTGGGCCCGCCCTGATGGCTGCCTGCCGGGGCCTGGGTGCCCTGCCTCTGTCGGTCCTCTGTTGGGGGGTGGTACGACCTCGGGACTTGGGGCTCGGTGTCCATGGCCAGATCTACTCTGGAGGGGCGGGTTGCTGGCAGGGCCTGTGGACTCGTCGCTGCAGCCTCCTGGGGTTTCTGCGTTGTGGTTGCTGGGGATCGCCCAGGGCTTCCCTTTGCTTCTCGGGGTGCGGGTGTCCCTGTTGGGGGACTCCTGGAGCCCCGGGCTTGGGGGCCGCTGTGTTTCTGTAGTTCCGGTCTTCCCTGTGTTACCATCATGTTCTGTGGGGATGGGTCTGTGAGGTCCCCACATCCACTATTGAACATTTTTATGGAGAAACCTTATGGTGACAAGCATGCTCACACAGGTGTTTAGATTCAGGTGTTTATCAGATGATATAATGATGATATAAGTATCATTATATATGTTGCTTGTTGTTGTGGTTTCTCGGTTTTGTCTTGTTTTTTATTTCCGCAGGTCTAGAGGCAGACTTCAATGATGTTGATTTGTGTTCTCTTTATCCCTCTCTCTCTCCTACTCCTATCTCCTTCTTTACCTTTTAACCATTCTCTCACTTTTCTGCTTTATCTTCTTTGTTTTTCATCCCCATGTCCATTACATCTGAAACAAACCCAAAGCAAATTCTAATAAAGTTTTATTTATAGATCAAGTGGAGCACTAAGGCCAGCCATAATGCTCTGCTTGTGAAACTAAATCTGTTGGGCATCACTTTGACACTCAGACAATAATTCTGTGTCACAATGCCGGACAGGACAATGGAGAAGGAAAAAAAAAGACAGCTGCTGCTGTGGTGTCCATAATGTCTTTCCATCATGAAGGCTGTCATTGTTTGTTGTTGTTTTCTAGAATGAGAGTAAATATGTATTATAACATAATTTATAGCAACTCAAGAAACGCCTTGTTTCACTTACAGTGTTAGGTTCAGGCAAAAGTAGCTAAAAGAGAAATTAAATACATACACACACACACACACACATAAAATACTTAATTACACACATTTGAGCAGATGTAATAAATTACTTTAATTCCTTTTTAAATGCAATTCATCCTGCCATACCTGCAGTGTCTTCAGACTTTGCCAAATTAAAAGTTGAAGGTTACTCATTAAATTGTTATTGTGTTAGATTTATTTATAAATCACATTTCAACACTGCTTGTGCCAAATAAATTAAATAAAAAGTAACACACGTTCTCTATCACCGTCATTAATCAGCAAACAAACAAGCAGCAGCTTCAGCTACAGAGAGACTGACGTTACATTTTCTCACTTGGAAACAACAAATGTAGAATATTGTAGAGACTCACCTGCAACACACGAGTTGGGAGTGAGATGAGTTGTATCAGCTGTTCAGCTCCTTCATCCTCCTCGTGACTCCGACATGTTTACGTTTCATCTCCGTGGTTCTCCCGTGTCGTGTCGTCACTTTTTCAAAGCTGCATGTTGCTCATCTTTGTGAAGTGCTCCCACACTTTGGAGGACTTGGGTTGAACCGTTTTCTCTGCGTCGGTCATTTGTAAAATTGACTTAATTTCCTTTGAAATCAGCCTCTGCTCTGCTTCCGCCTCCCCCTCGCTCTGTTCAACTCGCGCTGCAGAGGTTTTTTTTTAAATTTATTTTATTCAGTCAGTCAGCATTGACAATGCACTGCAGCTGAACAAAACGGCTCTGCAGCGCCGTGAAAGACGCATTATCGCGCGACACAACAAATCGATAATGAAATTCGTTGCAAACACTTTTAATTATCGATTTTATCAATTCGTTGTTGCAGCTCTAATTTCGGAGCATTCTGACGATAACGATAAATTTCGTGATATAACAAAAAAAACCCCAGAAATCATAGTTATTCATTTGACAAAATTTACTGCAGTATTATATAAAATAAAAAAAAACAAGGGTTAATTTTACTGAAATTACTTTATTTAGTAAAGTATTCAGTCTCCAAGTATAAAAATAAAAAATAAAAATGATCCTTCTGTTATTTAGATTGAAAAAGTCTGCACAAAATATAGATCCAACAAAATCCACCACAAAAAGTAAAGTGCAGGTGAAGTTTCCCAAAATAATAAATAAAATTAAAGCTTAAGATCTGTTGAACATAAATGTAACATACATACATATACATATACATACATGTAACATATGTTGCCTTTTAAATGAGCTATAACTTCCAGAACTTGTAACAAGGTGATCAGCTGACCCTGAAGCTTGTGGAGTTTCTGTTCCTGCAGGAATGATTCATTTCTCTGATGCTCTGTCTCTGATCACCTGACTCTGTTCTTGGTCCATGGACTGTGGAACTCAAGAGACACAGCTGAGCTGTGTGTGTTTGTACCGGCAGCTTAGAGCAGGGGAAGGGAGAGACAGCTGAGCTGTCTGTGCCTGCAGTTTAGAGCTGGATGGAGAGACAGCTGAGCTGCACTTCGTTTGTTTTTAGCTTTTTAGCTAGCTAGTATTGCGCGCTGCTAATTAGCGTTACACCAGTACCGACAGGGGGGGGGGGGTGTGCGCAGTTCGGTTTGGTCATTGGGCGCGCTCGGTTTTGTTAACGGTGCGGGGCGCCTGACGTATTACGTCATGAAATTAGCAAACCATGATATCATTTATTTGTTCGGGCAAGTTTTTTTTTTTTTACCGGTATTATCGCGAATGATATGATATGGCCCAGCCCTAGTGCAGACCAACCAGTGCTGTGGGCAGTAAAGAGTGGTAGCAGTAAACTGGGTTCTCTTTGGTTAACACGTGTTCCTCACAGGAACCTAATGGACCCAAGATCAATGAATGTACAGTGGTCCCTCGATTATTTCGGGTGTTGGGGACACCCCCCCCCCCTCCGCGATAAGTGAAAAACCACGAAGTAGGGATACAGTAGTCCAAGTTCAAATTAACTTTATTGTCATCATCATGATGAAGCCCTGTCCAGCTTGATGTGCACGTGCTGCTGCTCCAGGAGCAAGGCTGCCCAGGATGTAGTCCACCACCTCTGGCCTGGTCCGGACCAGCACCGTGCAACCAGAACCAGGCTGAACCCCACAGCTGTCTGTCGTCTGCAGCTCAGCTCCCATGATCCGGGTCACACTGATTCTGGATCAACTGCAGCACAGCTACTCGGCTGTGAAGGTACAACTTGAAGGATGAGTTCTGCTTCAGGATTATTTGTGACTTTCCTGCCAGTCCTGTGAGCAACAGAACTTACTGAACTTCTGACTTTGTTGCAAAACTTTCCCTCCATTTGCAGCAAGCAGTGGAAGCAGTGTTGACTTCTGGGAAGTGATGGCTTCTGAGTAATGTAGTTCTTTAGACTGGCAAAACAGTGAAACAGTGAAAGAAAACTACAAAATGGCGGCACATTTTTTGGGGAGAAATATTGTGTACAGTACTGTACGTCCACAAACCACGATAGAGCGAGACTGTGAAAGTCGAACTGGGAAGTAGCGAGGGACTACTGTAATCCTGTGATGTATGCAAGTCATGTTTCAGGATCATATGTTCAAAAAGTTTTCTCTTTTTGTCTTTCAGGAACAAGGATTTTTCCTCAATCTAAGTACATTTGGGACCTTAAGAAATTAATAAATGTAGGTCTAAAAACTTCTTACATTTATTTTTAATGTTTATTTGTTTACATCAACCGATTTGTTCTCTTGTTTTGGTTAGACTTGTACACAGGTCCACATCTGCCTCCCCATGCAGATCTCAATGAAATGAATAAAGCACCACAGCCTATAACAGGACACCCCTCTGCCCCCCACCCCGCTCCCTCCCCTGGTCTTTCACAGGTAATATGCACTCATCACTTCACTGTCTTTATGGGCTCAGGTAGAATATGGGTATGCTAATATGCTGTGATACTTTACCAGTGTTTCCCCTAGTTTACTTGCCTTGGCAGAACGCTCATATCTTCTGTGCTTTTTGTTGATGGGGGTGGGGCAGGGGGATACAAAGACATGTCTGTCTTGCGTGCTGTTTTGAGTGCGTGGAGGGGGAGACGGCTCAGCGTGAGGGAAACACAGCGCTACCTATATAACATTTTAGCTAGTGCATCTGTATTGGGCACCGCTAGCTTAACGCTACGTCAGTGACCAGTGCATTGACTGGGGGGTGGGAGAGTGGGTGGGTTTGGTAGGCAGGGCGCCCTGCTTGTATGAAGGTAGGGGAAACACTGTGTACTCTATCATGGGGAATTTCTCAGAACATCGTTTAAGGGAGTTTTGTTTACATAATGCCTCTTAGTCTTAACTACAACTAAGTTTAAGTATTGATGGCATGTGTGTTAATTGTCTGAATAAGAACAAAAAATTTATTAAATTTTATGGTCATTGGGAATAAAAATTATGTTATGACTTGGACAACTAAGAATCTACCATTCAGATTTAATTCAAGTGTGTAAATCTGGGTCCTGAATAAAAGCCTTTTTTGTTTGTTTATACATTATATTTATTTGGAAAATCTTTATTTTGAGTGTACCATACTCGTCTTTTTCATCATCCGAAAGATGGACGTAGTGCATGAAGCTGCTACTGTAAAAAGCGCGGCCCTCTTATTCTTGTTCAGAATAATATTTTTGCTTGGATGAGAAAAGGGAAGAAAACATGAGGGGAGATTGTATAAAAAAAGATCTCTTGCACCTTGTCCTAGACAGGGCATGATTTGAGGCATCCAAAAACCTACCACAGCATAGCACATAAATAGACGTTATACATGTACAGTGAGGAAAATAAGTATTTGAACACCCTGCGTCTTTGCAAGTTCTCCCACTTAGAAATCATGGATGGGTCTGAAATTTTCATCTTAGGTGCATGTCCACTGTGAGAGATATAATCTAAAAAAAATAATAATAATCCGGAAATCACAATGTATGATTTTTAAAATAATTTATTTGTGTGTTACTGCTACAAATAAGTATTTGAACACCTGCCAATCAGCAACAATTCTGGCCCTCAAAGACCTGTTAGTCCACCTCTAAAAAGTCTACCTCCACTCCACTTATTCTAAATTAGAAGCACCTGTTTGAGGTGGTTAGCTGCATAAAGACACCTGTCCACCCCACACAATCAGTAAGACTCCAACTACTAACATGGCTAAGACCAAAGAGCTGTCCAAAGACACCAGAGACCAAATTTTAGACTTCCACAAGGCTGGAAAGGGCTATGGGGCAATTGCCAAGCAGCTTGGTGAAAAAAGATCAACTGTTGAAGCAATTATTAGAAAATAGAAGAAGTGAAACATGACTGTCAATCTCCCTCGGACTGGGGCTCCATGCAAGATCTCACCTCGTGGCGTATTGATGATCCTAAGAAAGGTGAGGAATCAGCCCAGAACTACACGTGAGGAGCTGGTCAATGACCTGAAGAGAGCTGGCACCACTGTTTCCATGGTTACTGTGAGTAATACACTAAGACGTCATAGTTTAAAATCATGCATGGCACGGAAGTTTCCCCTGCTTAAATCAGCACACGTCCAGGTCTGTCTTAAGTTTGCCCATGACCATTTGGATGATCCAGAGGAGTCATGGGAGAAAGTTATGTGGTCAGATGAGACCCAAATATAACATTTTGGTCTTAATTCCACTCGCCGTGTTTGGAGGACGAAGAATGATGAGTACCATCCCAAAAACACAATCCATACTGTGAAGCATGGGGTGGAATCATCATGCTTTGGGGATGTTTTTCTGCACATGGGACAGGACAACTGCTCTGTATTAAGGAGAGGATGACCGGGGCCATGTATTGCGTGATTTTGGGGAACTCCTCCTTCCCTCAGTTGGAGCATTGCAGATGGGTTGTGGCTGGGTCTTCCAACATGACAATGACCCGAAGCACACAGCCAGGATAACCAAGGAGTGGCTCCGTAAGAAGCATATCAAGGTTCTGTGGTTCTGGAGTGGCCTAGCCAGTCTCCAGACCTAAATTCTATAGAAAATCTTTGGAGGGAGCTCAAACTCCGTGTTTCTCAGCGACAGCTCAGAAACCTGGCTGATCTAGAGAAGATCTGTATGGAGGAATGGGCCAAAATCCCTGCTGCAGTGTGTGCAAACCTGCTGAAAAACTACAGGAAACATTTGACTTCTATAATTGCAAACAAATGCTATACTGTACCAAATATTAACATTGATTTTCACAGGTGTTCAAATACTTATTTGCAGCAGTAACACACAAATAAATTATTCAAAAATCATACATTGTGATTTCCGGATTTTTTTTTTTTTTTAGATTGTCTTTCACAGTGGACATGCACCTAAGATGAAAATTCAGACCCCTCCATGATTTCTAAGTGGGAGAACTTGCAAAGTTGCAGGGTGTTCAAATACTTATTTTCCTCATTGTATATATAGGCCGGTGAAGACATTGAATTTTAAGGGAAGGTCGTAGAATAGTCCAGAGCCCCCACTCTCAGCCATTGTCCAGGTAACTTGTTATTTATCATCAGCTCGGTTGAGGTTCCGTCACATGTCCACGGCCTTGCAGAAGGGAGGGGTGAGGATACAGACAAAGCATCTTTGTTTTTCTTAAACATGCCAGGAGGGATTGAGCTAAGTCCACCGTCAAGGCCACAGTTTGGGTCAGGCAGACCTCGTAAATTGCTGTTTCTGCCTTCTAAAGTCTTGCTGGTACATTTCTCTGATGGTAACTCCAAACAGCTGAATTGATTCCTTACGCCAAAAGTTGAGCTCTCAGCTTCTCCAAGATTATTCCCAACCATTCATGGGTGCTGCCAGAAAGTTCACAGTCCTGATAACAGCCTGCTCCAACTCTGACGCAGCTCCACATAATTCAGTCTGAGTGCTGCCAAGCTTCGACACATCCACACAAATTTGTAGACGATCCTGATTTCACTAACCCAAACGGCAAAAATCCAATTGTCATCATGAATCCAATTTGTTTCCGTAGGTAAGAGGGTCCTCCTTACCCTGACGCCTGTAGGGAGAAGTTGATCAATTTTGTTGAGAGATCAGCTGATCAACTCCTTTGAATTAGGAAGGTATGTAGGAAAAAAGTATTTTTAAAGGGTTCACAAGATGAAAGAGAGCAAGCAGGGAAGGGGGGGAACGGAACACGGGGAGAAACGTCTGTCTTCACCGGAGCACAGAGAGAAAACAATAAAAGAAAAATAAGGAGATATTTAATCTGTTAGCACATCAGCATCAGATTATTATCAGTGTCAAGACTTTGAACCTGCTTACAGTAAGGTGGTACGCTGTGATGAGCTGCAGCAGCTCTCTGCAGGTAAGGAGCATTTAGCTTCGGGTTGGTCATTTGCTGACACGCCTGCTGGATTGATTGACAGGTCGCGTCATGGTGGGAGAAAATGAAATAAATGAGCTGTAAAAAAAAAGTCTCGTATGACTTTATTCTCGTAATATTAAGACTTTATTTTACTTTATTCTCATAATACTACGACTTTATTCTCATAATTTATGGCTTTTATTAATTTTTTTCTTAGCGTGGCCCTGAAGCTCCGTTGTATTTCAGCACCCTGTTTGAATCAGTGGGAAATAATTCTGTTTTTGCTATAAAATGATCATAAAGTTCAGAATAATCTTTCACCAGGGCTTGACCACTTGACTAGAATACATCTTCACTTTTTATTCATTTTTCTTCACTGTTACTAATTTCTGTCTCTTATAGCACCCATTTCCCCCTGGGCAGCCCCCCTCAGTTGTGTTTGCAGCCTCCGCACCCCAACAAATGAACCCCACACCACAGCCCCGACAGGTAGGCCAGACTGTTTTCAGGAGGATCATTTCTTCTCTTTTACAGTCAAACTTTCTGCAAGATTTCACACATTAGCTGCAGATTTGCCCAAACTTGTGCTTGTAAAATCAGATCCCATCACTGTTAAAAAAAAAAAAAAAAAAGAGTACAATGTTGAGAATCTTTGTTTCCTTCAATGTCAGCTTATTTGTTCGCTTGCTTCTGATCAGTTCTGCTCCACTTTTACCGTCGGTGTCGACACGATCTTCATCCTCACAACTCGATGTGCCACATGTGCACGTTGGCCTGATCTGCATGGTTAAACTTTTTGCACCTTAAATGATCCAAATTTATTTTAGGAACGTGAAGTAGCCTCTTTTCATTTGTTCGTAGCTCCTTTTTCAATGTTAATAAGTGTGCAGTTCTCCATCAGTTCCTGTGTTATCTTTTATCATTGTTTAAAGCAGATCAAATTTTAAATAAATTACAGAGCAAACATCTCTAAAATAATAGTTGTTTTGTTTTGTGGTGAAAAGCAGCTCGTGTTTAAAAAACAAAGGAGAGTGAGGCGTGGACCTGGAGCTTCTGTGTTTAATCTTTGTCCTGTCTGCCTCTCCTCTAGTTTGCCCCTGGGCCCCGACCTTTACACCAACAGGTACTAACAGCACAGCTAACTAACTTCTCCAGGCTTTAATGCATGTCAGGAAGCACTGGGGGAGGCCACTCTACTCAAACAGACTCCGGCATTAGCCTCCTTGAATCAGAATTTACTTAAAGTGCATTTTTTAAATCAAAGAGGTCTGATCTGAGCTGCACTTAACTGTTCAAATTAAAACTTTACAGACTGTAAACCATATAAAGCTAGGTTCTTCAGAGAAGTAGTTTGTCTTGACATCCAGCAGAGGGTGTTCTACCACAGTGTTGATGTTTATATTGAGGCTCAATGGGATTAACCTGTCTAAATAAAGGTTGAATGAATGGATATTGTTAAATAAAGAAAAATAAGTGTAAAGTCATTTTTAGAGAACCAGAAAGGTGCACTGGTTGTTATCCTTAATAAAACTCACCCACTAGCTTCCAACCAAAACGAGACAGGAGAGGAATTTCATCCCGTACGCTTTTGTCTGACAGCTTTTTGTTTATCACCGCTGGCTTCAGCAGCATGCCCACAAAAATACTTTGTTGGCAAATTTAAAATGATAATATGCATCTCGTCACTAGTGTTTTTGAAGAGAAAGTTCAAGAAATCATGGCAGAAAAGCTTCAAGTCTTTTTCACACAGTATGGCTGAATATCACATGAAAAACAAACATAAAGATGATGCTAAAGAACAAAACTTTCAGTAAAGTTAGGAGAAAGTAAGTGGTTTTATGGTGACGGTAATATACCAATTGTTATACTTTCTGAATGTTATCCCAAACTGTTCTTAGTATTTTTGCCTTTTTATATTTTGTTTGCAGTATTCAAAGTCTAACTGTGTATTTAAATCTTATCTAAATAATTTTTTAAAGTTAGTTTGACATTGTAAACGTCAGGTTCAACATCCTTCACAGAAGTGATTAATTCAAATGTAGACGTCAACCACTGTTGACACAAACTTTCTGAGTAGAGATCTGCTTCTTCCTTCGGAGGAACAAACCCTGTCCCCTGAGTTTCACTCTTCACTGCATGCTTCTTGTTAATTCACTGCTTGGCTCAGATGTTTCTGGACACTTTGCTCTAACCGACTGCCGTGCTTTCTGTTTCTCAAACCTTCTCTTTCCACCTTCTTATCGTCTCTGTGTGGTATGTCCTTGTATGTGATCTGTTTTGTGCTGCTGAAGGGAAGCTTCAGGTCGCTGCAGGTAACTCTCTTTGCCTTTTTCCCCTAATTTTCTTTACTATTTTCTTCTGTGTGTTACCATGAGTGCTGCTTATGTGTGAGTGTATTGAGTGGTTTGCGTTGTGGGCTTGGTATCAGTGTGCTGGCTGTGGTGGTTAGCTCCCAGGCTGTCAGCAGCATGTCAATGAGCAGGCCCTGAATGAACCAGCTTTAGCTGTTTTTGTCTCTCCTGACAAGCAGAGCCCATATGTTTCCATTTTAGCCATATGTTCATGAGCAAACTATTAGCCTAACTGAACAAGTTAGCTCTCCTTGGTCCAAGATATGAAATCATGCAGGAACATTAACATTACTCATTTATGCCACAAGTTTTATTTTGGTAACTTCAGATGTACTGTTTGTTTGCCTTATTTTTCGGTCACTTCCTATTCATTGTCTTTAATTCCCCTCTTTTCCATCTTGATTGCCCCCTTGTTTTCGTTCAGCCCTACTACGCCAATAGGGCCAGCCTGCCTCCCAGCAACGGGCCTCGGGGCGTCCCACCCAGCACAGCTCCTCGCCCTGTGACACCCACCCATGTTTACCAGGCGGGCCCTGGCTCCCAAATGATGATGATCCCTCAGCAGCAACTGCCCTTTGCCAGTTCACAAGGACCTGCTTATTTCATACCTGGACAGGTGGGGAGATCCAACCTGTGATGGTTCTGCAAGCTTTTATTGACAGACTTTACCTGTAAGATTGTTTATTTTTGACATCATAATGTATATATTTTTTTCTTGTCTTTGGCTCTCTATCATTTTCTTCCCTTAGTACCGGTCACCAACCTATGTGGCCACACCTCAGCAGTACCCGGTCCCAGCAGGCACCCCCGGCTTCTACCCAGGCACCAGCCCTGCGGAATATGGTACTTATGGTAAGAGGCTCTACCTGGGGCCTCCTGCACCGTTTACACACAGAAAGACACACAGCAGGAAAATTACAGTGATGCAAGAACATAAAACAAAAACATTGACCTGCAAGGGCAAAACATTTATGGTATTACCATCTAAGGAACTGATATAAACCATCTTCTCATGTTAGCATAAACATTAAAGTAGACTTTAGATGAAAGGTAGGCAGACAGCAGTATGAAAGAATAGAAACAGATTGTCAGTAGTAATACCACTAACCTGCAAAATCAAAATGATAAAATTACAAAATCATTTTACTATTTCACTTTTTATTTTAAAATTTGTGCATTTTAAGGTTGAAGTAGCAGTGGTACCATTCTTACTTCAAACCAATCCCTAAATTTTTTGTCTCATGCATCTCTCTATAGGAAATTATGGCTAATTTATATTCCACGAGACATTAGGAACTCCACTGTCATCTTCTCAGTTGTGAGACAGAAATTACATAATTTTACGTCATTTCTTTCTCACGTGCGCTGCAAGAACTTGTTCTGTGTTTGAGCTCTTGACAGAACTTTTTCTCAAAGGGCTTGTGCCAAGACAGCACGACAGCTCAGTGGTTAGCACTGTTTCCTCACAGCAAGAAAGTCCTGGGTTCAATCCGTAGGTGTCGCAACCATTATATGTGAAGGGGACAAGTACCCCCACTTTAAAAAAATGTTCATTTGGACCCCCCCACTTTTACTATGAAACATTAGTTCAGTCGGCACAGTTTATCTTTCTTCGTGAATGAATCCAGTCCACTTGATCAATAGGAGAATACTCAAGCCACAAAAACTCCACTCCAGGTTTTCCAGGTTACCTCCAACTCTAAACAAAGAGCAGAAACTGTGCAGGTGCTGAGTCTCCTGCTTCGGCAGAAAACGCGCACAGGTGGAGGAAATGGAGACACTTCTGTGTTGCTCGCTTGCCAGTTTAGCAGCTTAGTGTGGGCAGTTGTTGACCGGGGGCGTTGATCATAAACGTATATACATGGTTAGGAGGATGCTTGAGAGGAGCGCTACGTCTGTAGCATCTTAGCTTAGCAGTAACTGGGACACTGTAAGATGCTGCAGGTGTAAGAGATGCTGTGTGTTCAGGTGCATTAAAGTTGAACCCACACCTTATTGTCCTCAAGCTTCGTGAGAAACATTTAGATGAGTAATGTTGAACTCAAGTAAAAAAAGTCCAGTGGTGATGTTTTTTTATTTCTCTATAAAGACAAATAGTGCCGATCTGAGGTTCTGTCTTAAAGTTTATTAAAGTTATAATGTCTTTAAAACCCACAGCTGAATTTACACAAACTTGGTAAGAAACATGCTTTAAATGTGTGGAACTAAAGGAAATCTAGGTGAAATGTTGCTTTTTTGTACATTAGCGTACACTTCTTTGCGCGCACGCGCACACACACCTACACACATCATTGTGTCCCCCCTACATTATGGATGCTTCTGACGCCCTTGGTTCAATCCCCGTTGGACCTGGGGTCTTTCTGTGTGGAGTTTGCATGTTCTTCTCGTGCTTGCGTGGGTTTTATCCAGGTACTCTGGTTTCTTCCCACAGCATGTTCTGCCTTCAGACCCAGGCCATCCATCCATCCATTTTCTTCCGCTTATCTGGGGTCTGGTCGCGGGGGTAGCAACCTAAGTAGGGAGGCCCAGACTTCCCTCTCCCCAGCCAGCTTCTCCGGGGGAATCCCGAGGCGTTTCCAGGCCAGCCGAGAAACATAGTCCCTCCAGCGTGTCCTGGGTCTTCCTCTGGGCCTCCTCCCAGTGGGACGTGCCCGGATCACCTCACCAGGGAGGTGTCCAGGAGGCATCCTAAACAGATGCCCAAGCCATCTCAACTGGCTCCTCTCGACGTGGAGAAGCAGCGGCTCTACTTTGAGTCCCTCCCGGATGATCGAGCTTCTCACCCTCTCTCTAAGGGAGATCCCAGACACCCTGCGGAGAAAACTCATTTTGGCCGCTTGTATCCGAGATCTCGTTCTTTCGGTCACAACCCAAAGCTTATGATCATAGATGAGGGTAGGAACGTAGATTGATCGGTAAATTGAGAGCTTCGCCTTTTGACTCAGCTCTCTCTTCACCACGACAGACCTGTACAGCGCCTGCTTCACTGCAGACACTGCACCTATCCGCCTATTGATCTCACGTTCCATTTTTCCCTCATTCGTGAACAAGACCCCAAGATACTTGAACTCCTCCACTTTGGGTAGGACCTCCTCCCTGACCCGGAGAGGGCACCGGCTCAAGACCATGGCCTCGGATTTGGAGGAACTGATCCTCATCCCGGCCGCGTCACACTCGGCTGCGAACTGCTCCAGCGAAAGCTGTAGATCACGATCTGATCAAGCCAATAAGACCACATCATCTGCAAAAAGCAGAGACGCAATCCTAAGGCTACCAAAACAGATCCTCTCAACACCTTGGCTGTGCCTAGAAATTCTGTCCATCAAAGTTATGAACAGAATCGGTGACAAAGGGCAACCTTGGCAGAGTCCAACTCTCACCGGGAACAAGCCCAACTTAAATCTGGTCCTCTGGACATTCAAAAAAACAAAACAAAGCAAAACAACAAAAAAATGTAGAAACGAGAGCCTTGACGTCCTTTTCAGGGACACCACTAAGTCATTGGTTCAGGTATGTTGACGACACCTGGGTTAAAATTAAATCTCAGGAAGTCCAACATTTTACTGACCACATCAACTCTGTGGATAAATACATCAAGTTCACACGAGAAGATGAAAAAAATGGCAAGTTGGCTTTCTTGGACTGTGAGGTCTCAGTCTCTGATAGAGGACATTTGCAAACTGAGGTGTACCGCAAACCCACCCACACAGACCAGTATTTGCAGTTTGACTCCCATCACCCTTTGGAGCA